CACACAGAGAGCTGGGGCACAAACTCAACTAGAATTCCTGGAAAAAATGAAGAGATAAATGTTTTTATAAATGGAATGAAAGTACTTTAGGAAAAAATTGGAAAAGAAATTAGAGCTATGGAAGAAAGATTTGGAAAAAGAAAAAGTTTGGCACAAGAGGTACCAAATCTTGCCCAAGCAACAAACTCCTTCAAAATTAGAATAGACCAAATGGAAGACAACGTTGTCATGAGGCAACAAGAAACATTAAAACAAAATCAAAAGGCTGAAGAAATAGAAGAAAGTATTAAGGGATCTCATAGCAAAAACAACTACCCTGGAAACAGACTGAAGAGAAAAAAATTTAAAAATCATTGGACTGTCTGATGCTATGACCAAAAAAAAGAGCCTAGACATTGTATTTCTTTTTTTAAAAAATGTTTTTACTTCTTTTTAAAAATATTTCCCAATTACATGTAAAAAAAATTTAAACATTCATTTTTAAAAATTTTGAGTTCAAAATTCTCTCCTTCCCTCCTATCCCTCTCCTACCTAAGCATCGTATTTAAAGAAATCTTAGAAGAAAACTGCCAAGATCTCTTAGAACCTGAGGGTAAAATGGAAATAGAAAGAATCCATTGGCCATCATATATATATACACATATATATGAAATATATGTGTGTATATATAATATATATGTATGTATGTGCATATGAATGTGTGTATATACATACATACTGTCAGAAAGAGAGAAATCAAGTACTGAGGAGCCATAGTAAGGATTATAAACAGCTTAGCAGCCACTACTAAAAAGGAGTGGAGAATTTGGAATTTGATATTCCAGAAGCCAAATGATATGGGCTTAAAGTAGCCAATAATAACTTACCAAGCAAAACCGCATATAATGCTATGAGGGAAAAATGGACCTTTAATGAAATAGAGTATTTCCAAGCATTCCTGATGAAAAGACTAGAGTTGTGGAGAAACTTTCAAGTTCAAACTGAGGAGTGAAGGGAAACATAAAATAGTAAGCATAAATAAACGAGGGTGAAGGACTGAACAAGAATAAACTGCTTACATTCAAATATGGGGAAATGGTACTGCTCCTTCTGAACCCTATCATCATCAGGGTATATGGGAATAGTCAGATCAGACTAGGCCTGGTAGAGGTTCAGTTGTGTCTTAATAATCTTAAGAAAATAATGGGTTTTCCAGACTTCTCAACCCACAAATGCCAAAGACAACTTAGAAGGTCAGTAGGAAAGGTCTGTGGGGCCTAGATTGCAGAGGAGCTCAGTCTGGCCTCAGCCCCTACAAATCAGGAACAGGCTGTGGCAGTGACTGAATCAGCAGTGGCAGAGGCTGCTCCTGGAACTATCAGCCCACAGATGGAATATTTGAAAGTCACCTATTTTGACTTCCAGGAGCCAAGATGGCAGAGTAAGCAGTAAGTTACTCTCACCCTCCCTTATTGACCTTGAAAAACCCAGAGAATATTGCCCCAGGAAAAATCCTGGAATAGTGGAGCCAGCAGAAAGATGAAATATAGCAGCCTTTTAGCTTGGGAGGCTAGGGGGATTAATGGGAAAAATCCCACTTGCTGTGGCTAAAGGGGACCAG